CATCTTACCTCACTATTGCCATTAAAATTATCTTCTTTCAACCCTTGCATAGATTTTTCAAACATGCAGTAGTACAGCCAGCACTAACAAAACCCACCCTGGAGACATTGGTTCTAGCCCATTCCTGCCCAGTATCCAACCTGAGAAGTAGGTTCATAGAGAAGCTAGCCAAAGGCCAAATACAAACTCACCTAACTGAAGCTAACATTCTAGAATTAGCACAATCTGGATTCAGGCCAGGAAATGGAATTGAAATTGCTTTAGTGGCACTGATGAATGACCTTCTCCTGTCAACAAATAGTGGGCAGACATCCACTCTCACCCTCCTGGACCTATACACAGTGTTCAACACTGCTGAGCATAAGATACTGCTGCCTCACCTGAAAGAGGTGACAGGGATCCAGGATAATACTACAATGGTTTCAGTCCTTCCTGGAGGGATGCACCCAATGAACAGTGATGAGAAACAGCACCTCCACCACTAGACCCTTCACTTGCAGAGTTCCACGAGGATCAATTCTCTCTCTGGTCCTTTTCAACAACTACATGCAGCCACTAGGTGAACTGATCAGACAACATGGACTCAAATGCCAGTAATATGCAGATGAGACACAGCTTTACATATCCTTCACCACATATGACCACACCACTGCCACTGAGATGGCCAGTGCGTGGATGAGATCAGCTCTTGGATGAAGAACAGCCGGCTGAAGCTGAACCCAAACCCAAGCAAGACAGTGGTGATGCTGGTAAGTAGAGGAAAGCATTTTGAAGTGTTTGCAACCATGTGCGGTCTCCATTGGTTGAAGGTGCACAACCACAACTGGTCAATTGACTCTGTGGTAGTCTAGGAGTGAGGGACTTTGAGTAAGCCCAAGGGAAGGCACGAAGAGCGAATGTACACAGAGGAGAAACTGATGCATGATTTCCAAGGGCACCTCCCACCTGAGGAATGTAGATACATGACTGGGCTTTTTTTGTGATGCATCAAAGAAGGCTGATCTTGTGGTTGAAGTACAGGCTTAAAAGTCAAGAGATTTGGGTTCTCTCCCTGGCTCTGCCACAGACCTCTCGTGTCACAACGGTGGTCACTTTCACCACATTTTTAAAATACTAGCGCCACAAGTCATAGCTGGGGGCCTTCCCCAGATTTGAAAATCTTACCCTTAAAGAGAAGAAGGATGGCCCAGTGGTTAGGATGCTGGCAAGGAATTTGAGAGACCCCAGTTTCAATTCCCTGCTCTGCTACAGGGTGTCAGTGTCACCTTGGGCAAGTTTCTTAGTCTCTCTGTGCCTTGGTTTCCCATCTGTAAACGGAGATGACAGTACTTCCCTGCCTTGCAGGGGTGTTGTGAGGCTAATGGGGAGCCCTATAAGTATCCAGATACATAGATATTCACTATGCCTCAGATTCTCCTCTGTCAAGTTGTGATGACAATACTCATCTCCCTCAGAGAAGCTAAATTCTGTCTGTCCATCTCTGTGGTATCTGTATACCTCATAAATATCTGTACCGTGTGCTGCTCTGTGATGGGGAGGTCGCTATAGGAATGCAAAGTATTCTTTTTGGTATCTCAGCCATGGGACTAATAACATCAGTGCTGACCTGGAGCCCAGAGTGTCAGCACATACTTTACAGCAGGAACTCAGTAATTACACAAAAAGAAAAGGAGTACTTGTGGCACCTTAGAGACTGACAAATTTATTTGAGCATAAGCTTTCATGAGCTACAGCTCACTTCATCGGATGCATACTGTGGAAAATACAGTGGGGAGATTTATATACATTGAGAACATGAAACAATGGGTGTTACCATACACACTGTAACCAGAGTGATCACTTAAGGTGAGCTATTACCAGCAGGAGAGCCGGGTGGGGGGGAGGGGGGGACCTTTTGTAGTGATAATCAAGGTGGGCCATTTCCAGCAGTTGACAAGAACGTCTGAGGAACAGTGGGGGGTGGGAGGGTGGGGATAAACATGGGGAAATAGTTTTACTTTGTGTAATGACCCATCCACTCCCAGTCTCTATTCAAGCCTAAGGTAACTGTATCCAGTTTGCAAATTAATTCCAGTTTAGCAGTCTCTCGTTGGAGTCTGTTTTTGAAGTTTTTTTGTTGAAGAATTGCCACTTTTAGGTCTGTAATCGAGTGACCAGAGAGACTGAAGCGTTCTCCAACTGGTTTTTGAATGTTATAATTCTTGATGTCTGATTTGTGTCCATTTATTCTTTTACATAGAGACTGTCCAGTTTGACCAATGTACATGGCAGAGGGGCATTGCTGGCACATGATGGCATATATCACATTGGTAGATGTGCAGGTGAACCAGCCTCTGATAGTGTGGCTGATGTGATTAGGCCCTATGATAGTGTCCCCTGAATAGATATGTGGACACAGTTGGCAATGGGCTTTGTTGCAAGGATAGGTTCCTGGGTTAGTGGTTCTGTTGTGTGGTGTGTGGTTGCTTCAGGTTGCGGGCCTGTCTCCCAAGATCTGTGAGAGTGATACTGCAAGTGTCTGGGTACAGACCCAGTCCTTATGCTGCAATGCTGTGTACCGCAATGATAACAGCAGAATTAATACTGGAGTGGCATGGGAAAGTGTCCTACTGTGGTGGAGGAAATAAGGCAGCACTTCCCAGAACCCTTCTGCAAAGGATTGCAGAGTACCGCCATGAAAGCTTCCGAGAGATCTCAAGGGAGAATTCCCAGGCCATCCCTGGGCACATAAACAGTCTTTTTCTGAGAGCACCCTCTGCGTAGCTGGAGTGCACTGATAACTTCTATCCCAATTTTAATTCAGATCCAACATTAAAAATAATAGCATGTAACCCCTACAGTCTGATTGAAAATGTGTACTCACCAGAGGTGCCTTCCTCAGTATCATGCTCCGCCAACAATTGGTCCTGTGAGGGGCTGAGCTCAGGGTTAAAAAAGGTTCTGGGCTGTTGAGGAGAATGGATCCTCTGCTTGCCTGCTGCGCATTCTTCTTCTCCTCCTCAACAATATCCTCCTCGTTGTTGCCCGAGGTCGCCCAGGGCTCCTGGGAGGTATCCACGGAGCGTTTTGAGGTAGTGGTGGGGTCGCCGCCTAGAATTGCATGCAGCTCATCAAAGAAGCGGCATGTCTGTGGCTCAGAACTAGAGCGACTGTTCGCCTCCCTTGTCTTCTGGTATGCTTGCCGAAGCTCCTTTATTTTCACGTGGCACTGCTGTGTGTCCCTGGTGTAGCCCATCTCCCCCATGCCCTACGCGATTTTGGCATAGATGCCAGCATTTGTTCTGCTGGTTTGGAGCTTTGCCTCACAGGCCCCTCTCCCCACACAACAATAAGATCCACCACCTCCTGTGTCCTCCATGCTGGAGCGCATTTGCAGGCTTGAGCATCCATTGTAAGCTGTGCTGGCAAGCTCTCCACGCCGATCAAACAGGAAATGAAAATTCAAAAGTTCCCGGGGCTTTAACAGGCGGGCGGCTGTTTCCTGTGTACCTGGCTGAAGTGCAGTGGAGTTGAAAGTGCTCTCCAGAGTGGTTACAGCGGAGCACTGTGGGACACCTCCTGGAGGCCAATTTTCATTTGAATTACATAGTGCAGCACCTACACTATCCCCATGTTGATGTTGACTGAAGCGCTACGCCTCTTGTGGAGGTGGAGTACAGAAGTCGATTTTAAAAGCCCTTTAGGTCGGCAGAAGGGACTCAGTAGTGTAGGCACATACATTAGTAACTCGACCTAATGCAGCTTACGTAGGCCTAACTTTGTAGTATAGACCAGGCCTCAGTCCTTTGTTCCAATCTCCCTCCCTGTTCAGGTTGAAGGTTACCTGAGAGGACTTTGGGGAAGGACGATGTTCCCTAGATTTGCAAACAGCTCTCAGTTTTAACCCGTGACTCCAATGTCTCACTAATTTGGCCCTACTTAATATGACACTTTATTTTCTTGTTATTGGGGTTTTCTTTATTTTTTGGAAGTTTTAATAAGTTTACAAATCCTTCCCATGTAAATATCAGAAACAAAACAATCATTGCCACAGGTAGCTTTTGTTTAAAGAGACATTATACAGGAATATAGTCCTCAGATCGTTCTGTTTAACAGGGCATCATACAGGAAGTCTCATGAAAACACTTGTGTCATTTCTAGTGACTTTATTGAGTGCAATATCACTCTACACCTTTAACAGACCAGGTATGTCTCTCAAATGTTAATATTCAAAACATTTGGACAACTGTGCTGGGTTTTTTGCAGGTGAATGTACTTTGAGTACTAAATAAAAAGTATCCACATATCTAAGCCTCTATGTGTCCTCTGTCTATTTGCTGGGTATGTAACTGGCGCAATATGCCACCAGTGGCGTGTCCCAGAAGCACCCTCTGATGAGAGGGGGAGTGAGCACAGCAGTGCTGTGCGGCTCTGCAGGGATCACACCTCCAGGCCCCCTAGATCTATTTGTTTTGACGGTGGGGCCTGTAGAGCTCCTGCACCCTAAGTCCTTGTTGCCAGCTTGGGAGCATCTGAACCTCCGCAGCCCCTCGGTCTCTCTGCTGCGGCCTTGGGGGAGGAGAGGGGGAATCTAGCTCCATTACCGGCATGTTCTCTCCCTGCTGCTGGCTCAGGGGATGCAGAGAAGGGATGGGGGTAGCTCCATCAGTCCGGTTCCCGGCCGGGCGGCGCAGGGGGAATGAACCTAGCCCCGGTACTCCACGCTCTCTCCGCTTTGCCAGCTAGCTGGAGGAGGAGGGAGGCGCAGACTCCTGCTGCCTGGGGCTAGATTTGGGGAGGGAAGACAGAGCCCGCTGTGATTGTTCTGGTGGCCCTGGGGAGGCTGCTCTCCATCCGGACCAACCTCCTCTGTCCCTCCCAGCGCAGGGGAGCAGGCCGGTGACCGTGGAGAAGCGGCTGCCAGGATCACCCTCCCTCTCCCCGAGCACCTGAGCCTTGACGGGTCCGGGGGGGGGGCGGGGGCGGCTGGGAGGAGGTGCTGCCTTCGCCGCAGCTGCTACTTGATCTGCTTCCTGGGTTTGCTTTCGCTTTTGCAGGGTCGCTCCAGGGGCTGAGGCACTTGCTCGGTGACGAGCACCGAGCCCTGCGCTACCTGCGAGCCAGCAGCGAGCAGCTCCCGCTCCAGATCCGCCCCTGGGGCAAAGCTGGTGGTGAAGTCCCCCACCCCCGGATTGCCTCCTATCTCTGCAGGCCCCCAGGTCTCCCCCACCGTTGCAGACACCTGGGGGGAGCTGCCTCGCTAACCGCGCTACCCGGGGCTTGCACCGACCAGGTGGAGCCGGGCTCCCGAGGCGATGATACCGCTTTGCAACCGAGCTGGGCGCCACCTGCTGCGGGTGGCCGGGGCGAGCCAGTGGCTGCGTCTCCTGAGCCCCCCGCTGAGCAGAGGCTGCCATTCGGGGGAAGCCCAGGGCGCCCCGGCCAAGGCCACCAAGAAGAGAGGCTACGACATCACCAGGAACCCCCATCTCAACAAGGTACGTGCCCCGCCTTGCCAGCCCTGAGCCTGCCCCACGCCCCGGCCGCAGGGTGCTTGGCCTGGCGAGCCCCCTGCGTATTGCACCGCATCCACACTCCAGAGCGGCCCCACGGGCTGGGATCGTGCGCGGGGGCACGTGTGCCAAACTCCCCCGGAGCGGGTGTTCGGGGCACGCGGCCAGCGAGAGACCCAGGGGCCGCTTGGATATTGTTGTTATGGGACGGAGCACGTCGGGCCCCCCCCGCGTGCCATTAACCAATCAAAGCCTGGCCTTGCAGCCGGCGTTTATAGCCGCGGCTTTGATTGGTGCGTGGGGGCCAGCCGCGTACAGGACTGGAGCCCAGCTGTCGGCAGAATGACCGGAGGGTAGCCCGGGAATGGCTCCAGCTCTCCTTGGAGAACTGTGGGGGTCACCAGTTGGGTGAAATAACACAGCCCTAACGTGCGTTTAAATTTCCCTCCTGTCACCTCACAGAACCGCTCACTTTCTGATTGGTCTAGGTAGGGCCACAGGCACTTACTTGCCTTTTTCAGTCTGGGACAGTCTCCCATTTCTCTCTTTTTGTGTGTATTGTGGTAACACTCACACCCGATTGGGGCCCCCTTGTGCCAGGTGCACATTTAACTGGTCAAGTGTGTATTCTCCAAAATAACTCCATTCAACCAACAATTAGTGCCGGGGGAAAACGGGATAGCTCCTAAAAAGACCATTTCTAACAGGTGGGATACTGCAATGCATTTCGCAGTACTTGGTAGTTAGGTATAGAACCAGCCATTTATTTCTTTGATTAAGACATGCAAGTTTGAGTTTGTTTGCTTTTGGGTTTGTTTGGTTTTTAAGCTTCTCTTGAATGGGTTTATAGCTATCTGTTCTATGCCCTAAATAGTATTTTCCATGTAGAAGAGGAAGTCTTGATTCTCAGTATTGCTCAAACTGCAGCATAGACAAACTTAATAGCAGGATAGCCTATTCTTCGTTCCTTACTCAGGAAGAACTCACAGGGAATCCAAAATAGGACCTGAAAGTAATTTAGCTATGAATCATACAGCTCAGTATTTTAGATTGAATTTGAGAATCATATAAATGTGTGTGTTTCAGCAACATTGGGTTCAGATTTGTTACATTAATATTGTTACTAATTATTCAAAATACTTTAGCTCTATTTGAAATCATGCCTACCATAAATTTGGCAATGATTAGATAGTTGACAAATTGTCTGTTACTTTATACTCCTGCTGTCCGTTGTATCCACCCGTTATCTCTTATCTTGTACTTGGATTGTAAGCTATCAGGAGTAGGGACCATATTTTATTTTAATGTTTGTACAGTGCCTAGTGCAGTGGGCTTGGGCCTTCAAGTGCTATTTTGATATATACGATTTTGCATCCCCAAATATATAGGAGCACTACAACTCAAGGCAGTTCTGCATGTGCAGCTTTGCAGATTATCTATATATTAGGGTTCTGGACTTCTGCGTCATTTTCAATCACTTTATGGCAAAATCTGTAAGGCTGAAAAGATTATGAATATTGTCAGCTATACATGAACACTGATCAATTGCTAGTGCTAAAGCGCTGCAGATAATTTTTGTTCAGATGCTATCTTGTCATCTAGCCTTGTGCAATAATACTTTATGCAGAGCAAAATATCTGGCGTTGCTACTGAGATTACATGTATTGATTATTACTGAATAATTATTACCTTAACCTTTGAAAGTGAATCACTTGGTATGATGCAATATGATATTGCTTCAAATTGGCATGGTTTGCACACCTGGTACAAATCATCTCTACGCGATATTTCTTTAGAACAGGGGTGGCCAACCTGAGCCTGAGAAGGAGACAGAATTTACCAACGTACATTGCCAAAGAGCTACAGTAATACGTCAGCAGCCCCCCCATCAGCTCCCGCCCCTCCCCCCCTGCTCCCAGCGCCTCCCACCCACCAACAGCCCCACCGATCAGCACCTCCCCCTCCCTCCCCACACCTCCTGATCAGCTGTTTCGTGACGTGCAGGAGGCTTTGAGGGGGAGGGGGGAGCAGGAGGGGGGAGCAGGAAGGGCACTGCAGGCTCAGGGGAGGAGGGAGGAAGGGGTGGAGTGGGGGCAGGGCCTGTGGAAGAGCCATAGGTTGAGCAGTGAGCACCCCCCAGCACATTGGAGAGTTGACGCCTGTAACTCAAGCCCCGGAATCGGTGCCTATACAAGGAGCTGCATATTAATTTCTGAAGAGCCGCACATGGCTCTGGAGCCACAGGTTGGCCACCCCTGCTTTAGAACATGATCCTATTCCCGTTGAAGTCAATGGCTAAGCTTCCATTGGGTACTTCCTTAAGAATCAAACTTGCTGTGAAGGGTTTTTTTCTTCCATGAGGGCTATGGAAGACTCTTGTTAAGAATTAATGTACTTGGATGCATGCAGAGGAAGGGAGGAAGAAGAGCTTCTGTCAGTAGTGAAATATGTTGCAGTGTGCAACACCTTGGTTTCAAATTCCATGTTTCTGCCCATATCTTAAGTACTTATATGGCCCTGTTAGGATAAGAGGTGAGTGCCTCACAATCTTTCATGCATTTATCTTTACAACACCACTGTGAGGTAGGGAAGATCTGCTAATTATGGTCCATGGTTTATCTGTCTCTCTCTCTCTATATATAAACCTGTGTATGGCTCTCCAGTAACTGGAGCTGTGTACTTTGTTCTTTCTGAGCAATTCAGAATAGGCTTTTATTTCTTTACTGGACATACCACAGAATATTATAATTACTAAGGAATAAACTATCTTCATTTGAGGTGGGATGTTCCAGGCAGTTTATCCAACTTATCTGTGATCATGGAATGGTATGTGGTAAGGATCATAGCTGCTGCTTTGGTTGAGGGTCTGAGTCTGCTATTTTCATGTGAATTTGCCAATTTCATGTGCCAATTTCATGTGAATTTGTCATTTCCAGATGCTCTTACATTTTCAGATAGCAGCGATGTAGTGTCATACTGTGTAATAAGAAAAGGAGGAGTTGTGGCACCTTAGAGACTAACAAATTTATTTGAGCATGAGCTTTTGTGAGCTACAGCTCACTTCATCAGATGTAGCTCACGAAAGCTTATGCTCAAATAAATTTGTTAGTCTCTAAGGTGCCACAAGTCCTCCTTTTCTTTTTGCGGATACAGACTACACAGTATTCAGAGTAGCAGCCGTGTTGATGAGCACCTTGGTGCTCTACACTCTGTATTGGCTGCTATGGTAGCCTAATAGCTCCCCAGTGACGTTTAGGTGTGGGGTTTGACATCTAAATTAATGGCTTAGGACCCAATTGGCCAAAAGACTGTCTCTCTGCAGCAGAGTCACATGGAGAGTGAGTTAGTTTAGTAATCAATGTAAAGGCATGAGCTCTACTGATTTAATACAAAGGGAGCTGTTGTCTGGGCTCTCTGTGAGGGCCTTTTAAACTTGAAACTCATACCTGTCCTTTTGCCTAAAGTAGCCTGAATTGACTGATATTCAGGGGAGACCACAAAGCCCAAGAATTTTATTTCTAAGTATTTGTTGAAGCTGTCTAGGATAGGATAGGAATAAATGGTCAGTTCTCACAATCGAGAAAGGTAAGTAGTGGGGTCCCCTGAGGATCTGTATTGGGACCTGTCCCGTTCAATATATTCATACATAATCTGGAAAAGGGGATGAACGGTGAGGTGGCAAAATTTGAAGATGATACAAAATTAGTCAAGAGAATTAAGTCAAAAGCTGACTTCGAAGAGTCACAAAAGGATCTCACTAAAAAGTAATGCACACTGGAAAACATAATCGCAACTGTACATTCAAATGATGAGGCCTAAATTAGCTGTTACCACTCAAGAAAGAGATCTTGGAGTGATTGAGAACAGGGAAATGGCCCAACTTGATGATCACTTTAGATAAGCTATTACCAGCAGTACAGTGGGGTGGGAGGAGGTATTTTTTCATGATCTCTGTGTGTATATAATGTCTGCTGCAGTTTCCACGGTATGCATCCGATGAAGTGAGCTGTAGCTCACGAAAGCTCATGCTCAAATAAATTGGTTAGTCTCTAAGGTGCCACAAGTACTCCTTTTCTTTTTGAGAAATTATTAGGGGTATGGAAGAGCTTCCATATGAGGAGACATTAAAAAGACTGGGACTATTTAGCTTAGAAAAGCAATGACTAAGGGGGGAATGTGAACCTAACGGCATCCCAGTGCAAGAGAGCGCGGGGCTCAGTGGTATCTGCTAATGTGTTTCCACTGGTCTGACCAGTTTATTGTATCCCTGTTCATTAATATCATACACTGTATCTGATGTGTGTCATTTAAGGTATTATTGGAAAATTAATAACACACTGATCGTTAATATTCTTGCCCTGGTGTGTGTATAGTAAATGCCCCAGGGACCATACAAGTATGAAGAAAATGTGGAACTAAAATGTGTTTTACCGGACAAATCTCGTGAGTGGGTAAACAGGTTTCTCCCAGCCAGTGCCTCCAGACAGGTGTCCTCAGAGGTAATTAGCAATCACATGTCAAGTGGCCATTCATTTGCATTGCAGAGGGCAGGCACAGATCAATCTGCATTTTAGTGGGGAAAGAAACCACTATGGTTCCTTCCACGACCAGATCCCATGTCTCCTTCCTCCCAGCTTGAATGCACTTTATTTTGTGTGTGTGTGTGGGGGGGGGGGGTAAAGTTCAGAAGAATCCATTTCAAAGGGTCACTGGACTATAAAAGGGATAGACAAAGAACCCCAAGTTATATTTCACCTAAGAAGACAAAGGTACTGAGCACTTCGTCTTTGTGGGAGAGCCTGACCCAGTGTGAGGTCAGACATCTCGTTGGAGGAAGAGTGGTAAGAATCTTACCTTGAACCAAGTCTGTAATTTTGTTAAGTCTTAGTCTCTAGAACAGCGGTTCTCAAACTTTTGTATTGGTGACCCCTTTCACATAGCAAGCCTCTGAGTGTGACCCCCCCCTTATATATTAAAAACACTTT